AGACTAATGTGAATCAAAAAGACAGAGGTATATTGTAAATTTAAACGCCACAGAATTCCACGTATATACATATGAAAATATGAAATAATGGCTAATCCAGGACAGGGTCTAAGCCCCCCTTTTCCTATTTAAATGATAAAATTGTCTTAAAGTAAGCTCTGAACCCTTTTCTTGGAAAAAATTCCACACATTACTGATCTGTGTTCTCTTTTCCATTTGCAAAACAAATCTTGAATTTCATAGTGAGTGAAGATGCTATGGCAAACTCTTTCTCTAACAATTTATTACTTTATTGGCTCACTGCCCTTGACAATTAGGAGAAGATTTATAGACATGTACCCTTAATAATTGGCAATTAATTGGAGATTAGATGCCAAAAAGTACAGTATTTTTAATGTAATGAGGAGGTTGAGGCTTTTCGCTTCCAAATGTCCCAGAACACAGAGTAAATGTTAACCGGCAGAATAGTTAACCCTGCCCTTTTGCACATCCACAGTAAAGAGGAGTTTTAGTTTGGTGATCATAAACTTTAGCTAGTGTGTCTAGTTTGAATGTAAAGCTCAAGTGTAAACAAAGAGGGCCCATGTCTTAAGAATGCTTCCAATCTATGTGCCCCTGGTGCACCTTGATAGGTACTGAATATGGTCAGTAAGGATCTGTGTGGGATAAAGAGAGACTGTATCCTGAATCTTCTTTGGAATTTTGTGTCTCACTCATAAGGACCTATATGGGATAAAAATATACTGAATCCTGAGATTTGGGCATGCTTTTGTCTTAGGCGGCAGTACATTTGGATCCCATAACATCTTCACTACTCACAGTTCAAATGATAACTGTTAGTGTGTTTTTATTGTCTAGAACTCTGGTCTCCTAAGGGGAATATATATCCTAGGTTCTAGGCAATGGAGATTTTGCTGGTAAATACTTCTGTCCTTGTGGTCAAATTCAAGAGTGCCTTAGACCTAGCAGTAGAGTTGGGAGGTGTGACTGTCACACATCAGTGATTGACCAGTTGGTTTTATTTTCTGAACTACAATTCCAGCACAGTGCCAGGAATATATTAAACGTGCACTAAATGTTAACTCATTTACACGTGTCCAGACAATTTTAGCGCAAGTAGAGTTTTATTCCCTTCCAGAAACTCTAGAAGTATCCTTTGATCCAAATTTCCCTGTGCCTGTATTTTGTTTCTGGCCATGTAAGTCAATAGGTTTTATGTTTATCTGCATTTTTAAAAAGAGTAACAGTCCATCTTTGGACTGATCTCAGCTCTTTCTCCACTGCTGCAACAGTTGTCCACTCTAGGGGTAATCTCCATCTTTCACTAAGTGCTTTCTCCTTGCTAAGCAGTGTCTGAATCTCATTTAATCCTCACAACAGGCTTGTAGCAGAACTACTGTTACATCAGAGCTCTGTTTTTACAGATGAGAAAAGTGAGGTTCAGAGATTAAGCAAGGCACTTGGGTTCACCGGCTAATAAATAGTAGAACCAGGATTTACACCCGGGCCTGTCTGTTGTAACCACCAAGATTTACTCCACTCTTCTTTCAGTTTGTTTCTCTCATGGGAAGTTGAAAACTAAGCATTTACAACGGTGCCTACCACAGAGTCATTCAATAATAATGTATAGTTTTAACTTTTGAAATTGATTTTATGCAGTGTAATTTACATCCTATAAAATGCACGCATTTATATATACAGTTCCGTAAATTTTTTTTTTCCCAACTCTCTTAAAAGTTTTTGAACATCATAGAAAAACTATGTACCAGGATATATGCTGTTACTAAAAAAACAACAAAATAGAATAAATCAAATATAAGTGATACACATGCTACTACTGGCTTCCACAAGCTGAGAAAGGAGTTAACTACTTGGCAAAAGAAATAGTCCTTGCTAGACTCTTAGAATACATACTTCAAAAATCCATTATTATTGTCAATTTAGAAATTGGCTAAAGTTGATTTTCCAGATGAAACAAAGTTGGAATTTGCTTGCAGTCACATTTCACAGGCTTAGTGAATTTTATAGCCATTTATGCACATGTTCAATAATGCACTGGAATACCATCATTAAGAACCCCAAATGTAGATGCTCCTTGAACGTTTTTGAGTGTTCTGGAGAAAGAAGAATGACATTTTGAATATGGAGTCATTTGAGGCTATCACTGTGTTACATTTCTTAAGAAGAATTTGGAGTATCTTAAATACGTTTTCTTGTAGCTATAAGATTCACAGCAGGTTTCTTTAAACCCAGCACCTGGAAAACAAGTGTACGTAATCACATATATATAATCTCATATATCCCATCATCTTTACATAATTCTGTTGATTAAAAGCAAAATCATAGGTGCTCCCCACAATCAATGAGAAGGGATAGCACAGTCATTAAACACCTGGCCATGAGGAACATATGTGCCACTTTAATGTCTGTGCATTACAGTTAGAGTTCCATAAGTTTTGATAAATGTATAACCCTGTGTTATTACTACCACAATTGATATTTACTGTATTGGATTCACCCAGCCTCCCAAGTTTCCTTGTGATTCCTCCTTTCAAAGAATTTTTTTCTTGAAGTCACTGTTGACTCTCAGGAAGTTGTAAAAAAATAGTTCAGACTTCCTGTGTACCCTTCACCCTGTTTCTTCCAGTGGTAACATTCTTACATAACTACAGTACAGTTGCAAAGCCAGGATACTGACATAGATACACTCCATAGATCTTATTCCCTTGTGTGTTAGTCTCTGCCTACCCTCAGCCCCAGGTAACTGCTGGACTGCTTTCTATCACTATAGTTTAGCCTGTTCTGAAGCTTTATATATAAATGGAATCATACAGTATGTTCTCTTTTGTGTCTAGCTTCTTTTGCTCAGCATTATGTGTTTGAGATTCATCCGTATTACTGTATGTATTAGTGGTTTGTTCTTTTCAATTTTTGTGCTGCATCCTATTTGAATATAGTACAGTTTGCTTATCCATTCACCTGTTGATGGACGTTTGGGTTGTTTCCAATTTGGGGCTATTATATAATGAATAAAGTTGCTGTGATGATTCATCTATAAGTTGTGCGCGCACATTCACGTCTGAGTGTGTGTACTTGTTTTCATTTCTCTTGCATAAACAATAGTGGAATTGTTGGGTCATTTGGTTAGTGAAGGTTTAACTTTATAAGATACTGTCAGATTGTTTTCCCAAGGGAATGAAACGTTTTATACACCCACTAGCAGTATAAAAAGAGTTCCTGTTGTTTCACAGGTTTGCTCTCGCTTGATTTTGATTTTGCCATTCTGGCAGGTAGGTGCTGGGATCTCATTGTGGTGTTAATTTGCCCTTTTCTGATAACTAGTGAAATTGAATATCTTTTCATGTGCTTAATGGGCAATCATATATGTGTATATATATATATATTTTATGAACTGTCTATTCAGACCTTGTGCCCATTTTAAGGAGGGGTGGGAAGTGGGGTTTGTGTGTGTCTTCTTCATTTAATAAATATTTGATGACTAATTAAATGTTTATTGAACGACCTGAGATTGACCTATGAATTTTCGTTTTGGCCACTTGAAGCCTTACATGTACTACAACTCAAATAAAAGAGTCAAATTGGGTTTCATTAGTCTATTCTAAAATGATCAGCTAAAGCAGGGGATCTGGTTTTGAACCTGATACTAAAATAAAGATCAGTAGTTTCCTCCCCTACGTAGGTCATAGCATCTTCTGAACCGTCGCTGTCATCCTCATGACTTGCTCTTTTTGACCATGGGAAAATTGTCATCTGAAGATGTGAATTTTGTGGTGCACATGGATACTGCCTTGCTGCATTGTTTCTCTAGTGCTAGAAGTGCTCTTACCTAATTTTTCTCTTGTCAAAAAATGGAAGGACAATCTTAGCCTTGTTATTTTTAGCTGTCACTGAAGCAGTTTTCTCCATTAAGAATGAATATCAGCGAGGTTGGTCTATAAGCCTTCTGCTGATCCTGTAGACTATAATTTGTGTTTATAATTAAAAAAAAAAGTTTGGTTACCTTCTCTGTTCTATGATACACTTTTGTAACAGTATACTTTTTTGTAGCTTTTGTTTTGTTCTGTTAACTGTAGAGAGTTAAAAAGAAATAAACACATAGACCGGCCCAGGTAACTACTGCTTAAACAGCAACAAAATTTGAAAAAATTATGTGTTTAGCGTTTATAAATCAGCACAGAAAAGTAACATCTATATCTCTGTATCTGTCTATGTAATGAAGAATGACGTCTCCTCCTTTATTTCCCAAACTCAGGTCCTTCTCCCTAAAGGAAACGATTGTTAAAACTTTCTGATGATTCCTTCCGTTAATACATGCTCTCTCCTTTTCTTTATTCTTCTCACACAAAAGTGGTCAGATAGTAGGTACAATTCGACATATTTTCCTGCAGTACAAGCACATGAAGATCTAGCTTTCACAGAGTAGTTATGTGGATGAACTGTGCTTTACTTAGTTGATCCCTGGTGGTTTCCAGGTTTTTGGCGTTTATTTTAATTTATTTTCTGTTATAAAAATGCTACAGTAAACAATACTGGAGATTTGGGCAGACTTTTGCAAATATACCCATAGGGTAAATTTATTCCAATTGGATCCCTGGTCAAAGAACATTTTGTAATTTGTCAGCTATTGCTAGATTGCCCTCTTTAAGGTTTCAGCCATCCATTCCATCTAATAGTGTCTGCAAGTGTCTACGACACATATTTTAAATGTAATAGGCTCATTTCAATTCTTTGTTATTTGAGCCTCCTAGTGTTATGTGAACTGGGACCTCCAAATTAATGCTGTTTCAATGCTGTTTTATCTTTATTACATTCTTGCTTGCTTTTTCCCCTGCAGAGGAAAACCTACAGTAAGTCTTCTTGATGACTGAGGGTGGCGGACTGGAATGGCTTTGCGTGGCTTTCCCTCACACAGCTCTCAGGCTGCTCAGTCTCTAGGAAGCCCGATGGTTGATGCATTCTGTTTTATATATTTCCTGTAGGAGGAAAGCTGAACAAGGACCTGCGACATTTTCTCAACCAGCGGTTCCAGAAAGGGTCGCCTGATCATGAGCTCCAGCAGACCATAAGAGATAACCTTTATCGCCATGCTGTGCCTTGTAAGTAGCCAGTTTGGAGCGTCTTACTGCTGGGTGGGTGGGTGAAAAGTTGAGGGGAGAAATAAGGGCTCAACAGCTGGTTCTGGGACACTTGGCAGTTTGCTCACGTAGTGACTCCGTAAGTCCCGGGAGTCATGACTGACAACGGGACATACAGTACTGTGCCAGGTAAATTACTCGGTTTTCAAGTTCTGGCTTGAGAATGCTGGGCAAATTATTTATCCTTTGTAAGGTCCAGTTTTTACAACCGTGAAAAGGACATCTCACTCCTACTAACTTCACAGAACTGTTAGGAAGTCAAAGTCAAATGCTCGTCAAAGCATTTGTGTGCAGTATGGGCGTGGTGTAAGCCTCATAAATGTTAACCACGATTGTCATTAATGGGGTGGACCAGGCCAGAGGACTTCATACTGACCTCTGAGGAGATCCATGGGAGTCTAATAGCCTCTCAGCAAAGGGAATGCCTCAGTGGACTCTCTCTTCTTCCCCACCTTTATCAGATTCATAAATCATGATTTCACATATGATTTTCTTTGAAAAAATGGTTTCCACAGATTAAAAAACCCAAAGCCCCGGACCCATCAGATCAGACCAAATCTGAGAAAGCAAGACATAGAATGTAGGGACTATGAAATCAGGGAGTTTGTGGCACGGAAGGAAGAAAGGAAAGAAGGAAGGGAGGAGGGAATCAGCCTATGGGGTAGATGAATTGGCAGCTCTGTGGTCATGAGGTATTGCCATGCTCTACCAAACTACATTGCTGTACAGCTCATTACGAGGTGGGAATTCGGGGAAGACATACAGTTATTTGCTTTCATTCAAAAGAAGAAGAAAGAATGATTCTGATTTTATTGCTTGGGAGTTTTCTTTTCTCCTCTCTATTACCCAGTCCTTCAAAGTTTGACAGGTGTTTAGAAATATTTTTTTTAATCAGCAAAAACAAGGAGGAATAATTTGAAGTTCAGGGTACCCTGCTTATGGCTGTGACTTGTTTGCTATGAAGATTTTCTTTAAAAAAATAATATTTTGCTAGTGATGTCCTAGAGTGCTATTGTTTCCTCGTACTACTGCAAAGTAATGAACAGAACTGATTTCAGGCCTACCATGGATCTGCAAGGACTTAGACTGGAAGTCTAGATGGGAAACTTTAGCGATCAGATTTTAGAACAGCCCTGCCTTCCACTTCACTTATTAATAAAACCGAGGCTCCAAGAGGAAAAGAGGTTGACTACAGGTAACTTGGGTCACTGCCCCAAGGTTGCTTCTTTCTGCTGAGTGGCAGAGCTGCATTTGACAGAGAAAACATGATAATGTATTAATGTGAATCTCTGGCCCTCAGTTCTTTTAATTTTGCATCATTAGAATTGAAAACTATGATTCTAATAATATCCTAATAATAATTCCTTACACTTGGATTAGTAATAATAATTCCTAATGTCAATCTCATGAATGAGGCAGGGATTATCTATCTATTTTTAATAGAAATAAAGAAAGAAACCAAGACACGAAGATAAGCCAATACAAACAAGGCTAAAGGTGATCAGGGCCTTACGTCATTGCTTCATCTCTGATATACTGTCCACTTTTTCTCTTAGAATATTCCTTTGAGGTTGGGGTTTTTAATACCCATTTTACAGGTGAGGAAACAGAGACACAGGACGACCAAGTAACTGTTAAATCGCAGATCCAGGGCTTTGGAACTCGTAAGCCATCCAGGGCTATTTTTGTAGCTCGACCATTGCTGCCTCTGAAGTTCTAGTACAGCAGATTGGATGCAGTTTTGCAGAATTCAGTAATTGCAGAATCATGATTGTTCTCTGTGTAATTTTTCCCCTACTCAGATTCCAATTTAAGAAATGCGGAATGAAGCAAATGAGCACACCATTTCTTGACGCATCTGTGGTGTTACTATGGTTACATTTTGGCAAGCTTTTCCATTTATTTTTGCCACTGATTTATTGGACCTGACTGTGAGCTAAATAGCTTGATTTTAAGCTTACCACTGTGTAGGAATTGGGGCAAAAATGACCTCAGCCTTTTAAAACAGTGGAAAATCGTGTTTTGTCTTTGCTTGATAATGCCGTTGGTATTGATGTTTCATTTCTATGAAACCAGTAAATCAGGAACTGAGAACTAAAGAGAAAACAAGAAACATTTCATTTTATATTTCCTGCATAAAACAGGAAGGAAATTCAGGAAGAGGTCTGTTTCTGAGTCTGGCACAGTATGTGTGTCTTTGAACATGAGTAGACCAGGGGTGACTTGGGATTCAGTTATGGGCTTGGGTAACTGGGGCCACATTTGTGTTTATTTTGATTCTTTGGCCCATGTGACTGGTAGAGCAGAACTCTGTACCAAGCTGTTGTACTCATGGATTAGGAAGCCCTTGATTGGAGCATGGATCCTCCCAGTGATAGTGTAACTGTGCCACAGGGAAATGAGCTCCTGTAATCTGTATTTTCCAGAACTTCCTGCTGCCAATAGTTCAGTGACTTCAGTCTTTTGAGAAGGGGTGATCTCATGAACAGGTGCTTGCGAGCTGGGATAGACTTCCTGTACATTTTAGGAGGTTCACATGTCATTAGAAATTAACAAATAAAACCTGTTTGTTCTCAAGTTTGTTTCAGTGTCATCATAGTGTAGTAGAGCCTTCTGGGCACCATGATGGATTTTGCCGTTCAGGATTCCATTTTATCCTAATTCTTTGGCAAAGACAATGCAGGTAATAGCATCCCTCTTTTACAGGTAAGAAAGTGAAGTAACAGATGTAACTTCCTCAAAATCTTATGAGTTCTAAATGCCACATTACTCACTTCTCAATACAGTGCTCCTTTTTTTAATTGGCTTTACTGAGATATAATTCATATATCATACAATTCACCACTCAGAGTGTTCATCCAATGCTATTTTTGCTATAGTTATTATTATTCTCCACTTCTCTTTTGCTTTGATTCAAAAACATTTATTATTCCCATGGTATGAGAAATGTCATCGTAGTTAAAATTGAATTATATTATCATTGAAAATCACTACCCCCAAAAATTTATGGCCAAAAAAATAAAAATAAAAAGAACTAGATGCAGAATGAGTCAGCCCTGGTGTGAAATCTGAGGGCTGTTCTGTAGCTGGCTGGCCTGGTGTGGGTCATGTAACCTCTCTGAGTCTTTTTTTACTCTTCGGTAAAATGGAACCAGAAATACCACCTCCAGCATTGTCTTACCAAGTACTGACAGCAGCCGTAAGAGATGGGTCCATTGGAGGAAACAGGCTCAGAGAAGTATATAGCTTGCTTAGGATCACACAGCAAACAGCATGGTTAGGGTTTAATCAGTTCTCTCTCTAACTCCTTACTGGGTGTAATCGACAGTCATGTGATAAGAGCAGTATACCATGGGCTACTGAGAGTGAAAGAAAAAAGAAAAAACCATTCTCATTGCTGAATTTTTAGTTTTAGCTGTTCAAAATCATGGGGTTTTATGTCTTGGGGGTGGGGGCTAGTTAAGGCACCATATCTTACAAATAAGTATCTTCTCTGTGATTTTCACATATTTCACTGGTGTGTACAGTAGAATTTTAATAACTGCCTAATGATTATTCAGCTTTAAAAAAATCACTGCAGGATTCTCTTGGGATATCTCAGTTTATCTTATTTTTCATTAGATCTTTTTTTGTATACGCATGAAAAACCACCTTAAGATAGATGGATTTGAAATGCATGTAAACATCCTCGGTGTTGCTCACTTCTATCATTTCTCAGAATCATCTGGATACTATTCCTGTCTCCTGCCCCCTCAAATTCTGATTATATTCCCAACCTGCTCCCCCTCAATTCTTTAGTCATACAAACTTCGTCCATTGCTCGAATACACCTGGTATCTTCTTGTAACTGGGTATAAATTATTACCTCTTCTCTCTCCATCTTTCCGTCTAACCAGTTCATAGCCTTCTTGTAAGCTTTAGCCTAGAGGCCACTTCCTCCAGGAAGGCCTCCATAGATTGGCCTATTGCCTTCCTCACTGCTCCCACAGTGCCCCCTCTGACCCCCTTCCACCGCATGCATGCCTGCTGCGTGTCTGTCTGTCCTGTTAGAATCTAATTTTCTTGAGATCAGAGACTGGATCTCCCTCAGTGACTAGCCTACACCTAGCTTCGTGCCTAGACCATGGGATAAATATCTGTTGAATGAATGATCAGTTGAAGAAATGGATAAAGACACTTGTTGTTTTTCTTGTTTTATTGTTTTTTCTTGATTACATAACATTTGGGAGAAACAGCAGAGCTGCTCTTACCATAAAGCTCTCAGAATAAAGGGCAGCTCAGAGGCTTGAGCTCTGAAATGGCTGATGAGGACCACACTGATTACTTGGCTGGGAATCCCAACCCAGAGGAAAAAAATCAAGGCTCCCAGTGAGCTTGGAACTAGAGTGCCCATTCACAGCTCCTCCTAATTACAGTCTAGATATCGCTGTACCTCCTGCACTGATAGCGGTCCTGCTTTATGACTTCTTGTCCTAGCTGATGTGACAACATCTGAGATGCTTGCTTTGGAACGGCTGCTTTGCCCATGAAGATAAATGCATTACCTGACAGGGCTTTTCATTTACTCTACTGCTGCTGTCAAAATGAGATACAGCTCATTCAGGAGTCCTGGGGCTCCGGAATACTGAACCAAACCCCTCCTGTTCCTTCTCCCTTCTCTGGGCTCAACAGTGATGGAACGCATCTTTCTTTTCAAGCAGAGGTCATCTGAAAGAGGAAAGGATAAGTCAGTTTTGTTCTGTAGATTAACACGTTGTTGATCAAGGCTCTCCCTAATACCGAGATCATTATAATCTGTGGAAGAGGCACTGATCATTGACTTAAAGGAGTTTACAAAGGGATTAAACGTGTTTGATCTCCAAGACCATTTAAATCTGATGCAGTAAACATGGGTGATCCTGGTCTTTATTTGTAGAAGTGCGATATTCTAATGGGCACGTTAGTGTTTGCTAACCGACAGT